ACAATTGCAGACTTTTTTGTTGTTCTTGTGTGTCTTCAAGCCCTTTTCGACTTATGGCACCCTAAGGCAACCTTATCATGGGGTTTGCTTGGCATGTTTCTTCAAATGGGGGTTGCCATTACCATCCTCTGAGGCTGAAAGTGTGTGACATGGCCAGATTCACTTACTTGGCCGCAAATTGTACATACCCTAGAATGCATCACCTAGTATATTGGCAGTTCTTCCCCCCAACACTTTCTTATTTTCCCCCAACCATCTCATAGCTGGGAGATGGAAATAATTTTTAAAGCAGCATTTAAATCGGGACTATTTTTTAAAAAGTAAGGTCCAAAACACACTGCAGAAATAAATACTAGGGAACATGGGAGCTGTAGTTTGTTGTGTTTATAAGTGACAGTTTTCCTGCTAAGTACCTGCATATCATAAGCATTTGAATTAAAATTACCATATTGAAATCAAATCTGATGTTTTTTAAATTTTTATTTGGTGTGTGTTGGAAGAGGGGTAGTCTTATACGGCGGGTATATCCCAAACTCTATATTGTAACTGGAAACGTTGGGAGTCGTCTTATACTCCAGAAAATACGGTATTATTAATCTTGTATTGTGTGACAATTTCTTGGGTAGTGGCACCATTGGTTTTGTTGTAGATGATTGTTGGTCTGTTCTCAATTTCTACATCTTTTGACGGAATGAACAGGTGGTGAGAACTCTGGGTTGTACATGAAGAAGAAAAAACCCAGGAAGTAAGATTAGGTGCTCCCTGGCCAACTATTCTGTTCATCTTCTAAAGCTTCTGTAGAAAATCAAAGCAAGGTTTACCCAGACAATAAAAACCAGTGAGCCATTTCACCATGCTAGAAGGTACAGAACTACAGCTGTAGAAAGCATCAAAGTATTTGCTGATTTAGTGCTGTTGAAACTCACCCAAAGAAAATCTTACAGGCAAGAGTTAGGTGCCAGGTAAGATTGATATGGGATAAGGAAAGAAAGAAGTTCTTGGCTGTTATTAAAACTAGTAGAGCTGTAAGGTTTGGAAAGGCAAATGTGGATTAAGGGTTCCACTGAATTGAAAAAAGGGGTTTTACAAAATAGCCCAAAGAGCTGCCCATATATTATGGGAGTAGAACATTAAAAGTAGGACCACGATATTTCATTGGTTATATTAATCACTTATAAAACATTGATCAATTATTTGTTCAACAGTATTTTAACCTATCTAATTTTCAGTGCAAAAACTGCAGGTAGCAAGTGCCAGTTTAGAAGCAAGTGCTATTTTCCTCCTTTACTCACACATCAAGGGAAAAGTCTTTTCTATGATCCCATTCCTACACACACATACATTGTCTAAAAACGACAGAATTATGCTTTTGAATTAAAAATGCTTGTTATGACTCATAAGGAAATTTGAATTGATTATTTAATCAACTGAAAGTTATACAATTATTTGAGTAAGATTGATTTAATCCGTTGACAGCCATAATTATAAGAGATGACTACCACCCGTTCCCTTCAACAGCAAACAAATGATTCCAGACTATTTATCCATTATCCCTGACTTCCTTTTGTATGACTCAAGCCAGCACAATAAATACTGGGAGTAAGCTCAAAGAAAGAAAGAGGGTCTTTGACCTAATATAGTTAACATGAAATGTGAACCTTTACCTAACCACATCTTAATCTATTCTGTTGGGCTCCAGAGTTACAGAACCTCATTTCACTACTGGCCTCTAATTTTGTTTTCTAAACTTTTTGGTAATGTTGCAGCTACGCTGTGGTGCTCAGGTTTGTGAAATCTGATCATTTCTTTCCTCTCCTGCTCTTTGTTCTTTTAATAGATTTAAGAGGGTTGGTGTTTTTTTAAGTTGCTGACTGACTTGCAGCAGGAATCCCATTGACTCATTCATTGCCTCTCGAGTCCTGTTACCCTCATAGAGGAATTCCCAGTACACAACAAACCTGAAACTTTTGTTTGTACGTTTCAGTCAAATTTGAAATCTCTTGCTTAACATTATTTTTGTAATGATGATGTCAGATTGTGTAGTGTGCATAACTGAGACAAACTCTTATTTATATGGAAACAGACTAGGTGATTAAGTGCAAAAGCTTGGAAAAAGACATTTTGTAACTAATAATCATAATAAGTCACACTATAAATCCAGTCATAATTTCATGTCCCAAGGTCTCCAAATCATGGGTCTATGGATTAGGGTCAGAACTTCCCATGCAGATAAGATTTAATCTGCACCAGATTGTTGTTAACTGCTGTCAAATAGAGTGAAGAGCCCTCACTTTGAATGAGAGTCCTCCAAGTCATTAAGGGCCTTTGCATACTGTCAAAAATAGTGCAAATTGAGTCCAGTTTAAGGGTTAGGGTTAGTGCTAGGGAATCATGGGAACTGTATTTTATTGTGGCACCAGAGCTCTGTGACAGAGAAGGCTCAATGTCTCAGAAAAAAACAACAATTCCCATGATTCCCTAGCACTAACCCTAACCCTAACCCTTAAAGTGGACTCAATTTGCACTATTTCTGGCAGTCTGCAAAGGCCCTAAGTCTTGGAGACTCAGGGCCATGGCTTCCTTCACTGAGTCTAGCCTCCTGTTCTGCCTCCTACTGCCTTCTACCTTACCAAACATTATTTTCTTTTCAAGTGAGTCATATCTTCTCATGCTTTGTCAAAAAGTACAACAGTTTGTACTTCAATCCTAAACACTATTTATATGGGTGCAAACATAGTGGAATGGTTTGAGTGTTAGACTATGACTCTGAAGAACAGGGTTCAAACCCCTGCTTAGCCATGAAATTTGCTGGATGATCCTGGGCAAACCACAGTCTCTCAGTCTCAGAGGATGGCAATGGCAAACCTCTGAAGAACCCTGCCAAGAAAACCCTATGATAGGGTCGCCTGAGGGTTAGGGTTGCCATAAGTCAGAAATAACTTGAAAACACACAACCACAACAACAAACTCTATGAAAAGCAATAGTGTGCACTGAATTTATATGGCATTTTTCTTTAAGACTGCAGTTCTGTATTGGTTTACTTGTGATTGAGTGCCATTGAAATGCGAGATATTTTCTTTTGAGTAAATTGTAATAGGATTGCATTGCTACAGATAAATTGTACTGTTCACCTCTGCCAAAGAGTAAAATTTGCATTCTTTAATAACAATAGCAACTTTACATTGATTTCAGCATATAAACTTGCACCAAAAAGGAATATATTCCAGTATTAGTAAAATGCATTGCATTATATTATAGTACGCATTTGCCTAGCGCAATTGTACTGTAGTGGTTTGAGTATTGGATTTTGCCTCTAGAGATCAGGTTTCAAATCCTTGTTTGGCCATGGAAGTTCACTGGGTGAACCTGGGCAAGTCACACTCTCTCAGTCTCAGGGGAAGGCAAAGGCAAACCCCCTCTGAACAAGTCTTGCCAAGAAAACCCTTTGGTAGGGTTGCCTTATGATTGCCATAAGTTGGAAATGACATGAAGGCACACAGCAGCAATGCCTTTTTCCTAGATGTATACATAGGAACCAATGGTTTAATGCACTCATAACCTCAGTATTAAGAAGCCTGAAGTAGCAAACATGATTTTGCATAAAGTCAGCTTTAAGCACATATAAACAGGAGTGTGGTGGAGTCTCCTTCTATGGAGGTCTTTAAACAGAGGCTGGATGGCCATCTGTTGGGGATGCTTTGATTATGACTTCCTGCATGGCAGGCAGTTGGACTGGATGGCCGTTGGGGTCTCTTCCAACACCATGATACTATGATTCTATATTGTCTACCGTTGCCTTGCAAACAAAAGTCCATCTGGTACTTTCAGAGCTAATGTCGGGTGCTGCTTTGCCCTTAGTAAGAACAGTTCCATCCAAAAGTCTGTAGGGGGTGTTATTAATAAAGAAATCATATTATAGGCACTGTCAGTGTTAGATTCTGATATGTTTTAGGTTATTAGATTTTGAAGTTGTTTCTGTGTGTCCTCTGTGTCTCCATAAATACAGATTTTGCACTGCACTTTCTAGGAGAACAGCTTGTATGTACAATAAAGTTTTAAATTTCATTTCTTGTTAGTTTTGCAGAGGGATTGCAAGGACTTTCATTTTTGCGCTTGAAACAGATATACTGGTATGTTTGTACTAACAGCAAATAGCATGAGAAATGTGTTCACTTAAATTTTAGATTAGACTTTCCTGAGCTGATACCCAGTGCAAGAGAATAATAGGATTTGTAGTCACCTCTGAACAGTAACTGCTTGAGGAAAGCTGATCTAGATTGTGGGAATCTGATACGGCTTGCCAACCCCACCAAAGAACTAAGATCACTGACTAAAAACAGTGTCTTGAAACTCAGTGAAAAAACATCTAATACTGTTGGAGTTCCGTTAGCAAGTGAGAATACCAAAGCTTCACTGTTTCAATAACATTTTGGGGGAAATACCTAATTGCTCTTGAAATATATTTTAATTAATTGCCTGTGATTTTATTGCACATATAATACAATACTGGCATTCAAATACAGATGCATATTTGTTGTTGCTGGTGTTTGCTTGCTAAACAAACACTGACTTTATATTTAATATTATAATTACTATATTGTTGGTGCTTCGAGTGTAATGAATTCTTAGTAACTGAAGATTAGTATTGGTTGCAGAAATTGTTTTCAGATTGGTTTGATTATTTATACATTTTTTGTAATGAACTTAATTGTTATATGGTATCTATTGTGAACCCAAGCAATTGCAGAAAAAGAATCTATATAGATACACCTAAAGTGCCTGGATATAAGATTTTGACCTTCACACACCATTTTAAAAAGCACTTTCAACCTGCATTTGGGGTCTAGTGGACTCCTGTAAAATTGTACCTAGATATTAATTTAATTACTTTTTTTCAAAAGGACTCCATTTATTTTTTTTAAACAATTGGTATCCTGTTCAAAAATTACAGTATAACACAAAAGGCCATGAGATGTAGCACATCCTTCCACTGTCCCCAGCACTGGACTCACACATGATATTTGTCCATGAACATGTACACACAGAGAGAATTTAAGAAAACATAGTTATGCACAATACATACCACAGAAGAAATAATTTCCTGCCCTTTCCTGGAAGCAGGTGCTTTCCACTTCTTGGTGAATGACCTTGGTTGCTACCTCTCAGGTTAATCTCCCTCACAGGATTGTTGTGAGAATAAAAATTAAAAAGAAATTTAACTTCTATAATAATTAATAAATAATACATAATTTTTTTAAAAACCAGAATTATCATGAAAATTATCATAACATCTTATTGTGACAGGTTCACCTTAGGGCCACTGTAAGTCAGAAACGACTTGAAGACACACAACAAATAATATTATTTACTGTTCAGAATAAGCCCCCTAACATGCAAAATGACCACCTGTGCATTTTGACATAAAGACAAGCTGTATCTAACATCTCACTTGAAAAATTCAGTTATAAATACATGGAGGAGGGAGATGAATCTTGAGGATTTCATGGAAGATTTCATGTTGAAGATGGAGCAAGCTTGTTTTCTCCTGATCCAGAGAGCAGAGTATGAATCAGTTCATTCTAATTACAAAAAAAAAAAAAAAGAGAGAGAGAGAGAGAGAGAGAGATTCTACCTGAACTTTAGGATGAACTTTTTGACTGTTCAGCAATAAAATAGACTGCCTGGAAGGGTAGTGGGTTCTCCTTCTTCAGAGGTCTTTGAACAGAGGTTGAATGGGTATTGTTCAGGTGTGCTTTAGTTTTATATTCCTGCATGGCAGGAGCTGGATTAGATGGGCTTTGTGGTCACTTCCATCTCTGTAATTCTAATTGCTTACTTAAAAGAAAACCAATTGGTTAAAAAAAAATGTTGCCCCTTATTTATCCCAGCCATATCCATGATCACTAAATCAAATAAACTCTAGTAGCTGTATATTCCTCAGCTTCATAGCCTCCATCCATATATTTCCTCAAGTAAAGCCAGCAGACTGCATAGGAACACTGGACTACAGGGCAGAGATGCCATATAGTATTCTCCTTTTTTGCTTCCCTACCAGATGAGCAGAACAGCAGTTGGCAGCTTTCTAGGCTTGGCATAATCCAAAGTTCTGCCACAGTGCCAACCCCCATGCTCTACCACATGATATAAATATAATGACATGGTGATTTTTAACAAATGTTGTAAACAAATATTTACAAATGCAATAAAGCATATAAGTTTCTTTGCATAAATTAAAACCTGAACTAGAAAGGATGTGGATTCCTTTTGTTATTACAGTCATCCCTCCCGATTCCAAGCCCGACTGGATATAATGGCCATACGCTCCCAGTGGGCACGCATACCATTTTGCCCCTCCTGGCTTACCTTTTGCAGAAATTCAAGACTGCGAACAGGAAGTCTGCAAACTAGGAGGGATGACTGTATTTTTGTTTTGGGCTGGATATACAACTGCCCAGTCACAGTAGCACTCAAATTCTGGATTTCTCTATTGTTTTCTATGGAAAATAATAATGGCTTCATAAGAGTAAACCAAAACATTGTGTAACCAAATGATAACTCTGCACTTATCTCAGGTAGTTACTGCTGTTCACAAACTGTCAATCCTAGCTGTAACATCATTGGCTAAATTCACCAAAAGATGGTAGCAGGCCTGTTTCTCAGTCACAACCTATTTGAACAACATGGTGTCTGAACTTTTTGTTCACAATGACTACAGACTTGCTCTTTTTAATCTTTGTTGGGTTTTTTAAAATTTGAAAACTAGTCATTTGGATTCAGTAGTGATAACTGCTGAGGTGGTAGGGTTTAGCCCCCTTAGCCCATGGGTTTATATGTCTATGGCAATGAAGGAAGTGCTGCTAACACTTGGATACAAATGTACTGTATACAATTTCAGCAGCAATAGCAGGGTCACTGAAAAGATCCTGCTTCCTTAACTGAGTGCAAATGATTTTTGGACTTTGGACTCAATTTGCAGCACTTGAAGTAAGCTGAGGACAAAGGGGAGAAAGAGGAAGGGGGAAAGAGAACTGGGATATTTTTAAAATTGCTAAAAAGGTGGGACAACAGAAGGTTAATCGGGACTATTCAGATCGGGGAGGGGGTATATACAGTGCTGAAGATTGGGAGAGCTGCTTGTGGGGGTGCCTCCTGTGCCAAAAGCTTGTCTGCCACTGGGTATCTCAACTGGGTGTGTTTGTGCATGCATGTTTGTTTCTCTGCCTCTAGCAGTCAGGTGTTTTGGGCCAGCCCTGCTGAACTGCAGAAGGGGCTGTTGAGAACAAGAAAATGGTGTTGGGGAACTAGGAAACTGTAGAGAGGGCTATTGGGAACCATGGCTCAACAAGGCTGGTACTTTGCTAACAAATCATCATCAACATCAGCAATAACATTTCTTACACCCCATTCTCCATGGTGGGGAACAACAGCAATTAGCAAATACACAACATCAGTTAAAAACACTTACGTTAAAACAGGCATCAATTTAGAAGGACAAATAAGATGTATACATATTAAAACAATCTACATTTAAAATTCATTATTTAAAAAGGCAGAACCCATTTCAGTTCAGCCCCCCCCCAAAAAAAGAAGAAGAGAACTGTGTGCTTCCATACATCAACAAAGACATTGGGATGAAGCCAAAGGCTGCTCCAGTTGCGATTGCACCAGGACTGCAGCAACTGCATGCCCCACTTCCAAAGTGGGCCACTGCCAGGAGCCAGATTATTTTTGCTCCTTTTTTATCCAGTCCAAAGGACTGGATTGTGGCTTCTGAATACCACGCCCCCAAAACACCCG